TGTCGGGGGGCCCTGGGGTGGGAAGGGGGTGTTGGCAGGGGGCATGTGGGTGGGGGCAGAGCTGGCTCACAGAGCTCCCTGCTCTCTTCACAGCGCCTTTACGGGGAGCACCTACTGCTCTGTGTGCGGACATTGGTTTCTGTGTGCCGGGAAGACTGCAGAGGGTGCAGCTTACAGCTCATGGAGGTGCTGGTGACCGTCATGGCCCTCTCGGGTGCCACGGGCCTCAGCGACAAGGTGAGGCTGCGGGGAACCCCCCGCTTTGCTGTGTGGGTGATGGAGCTCATGCTCAGGAAGGTGCTCATCTCTGAGCAGATGGAACCACCGTCTAGAAATCCTCCTGCTCTGGAGTCCAAAGCCTCAGGCTCACCTGACTCAGCTGACTAGCAAGGCGGAGGAGTGTGTGGGACATCTGGGATGAGTTGCTCATGAGGTGGCCGTAGGCGTGCCCAGGATTCTGGAAAAGCCCCAGCTGCCTGTTTATTGTTGTGTCGCAGAGGTCACGACAGCTGCCAACAGGCGGACAGGACAGAGCCCGTCCTCACCTCCAGCCTGTGGTTAAACACATATGTGACCGACAGCCCAGAGGGAAGATAACGTCATGATTTCCTGTCTAATCACAGGCCAACTTTGCAGAATTACTTGTGTTTTTTACCCTCTTGGTCTGAGCTTTAAAAACTGATGTCCAGGTTCCCTCGGGCTCTGGGACCATCAGGAGGCCGGTGTCTTGCCACCTCTCCAGGAGAGTGTGGTTTTCCCTCTGGCTCTCTCTCGCCAGCCGCGGGCAGATCTGGGGGCTGACCCGCATGATGGAGAGGCGCCCGGGCGCGTCACGGGACCCCGTAACCAGGAGGCCCTCTGCCCTCCCTCTCCTTTCTTGGGCCTCCAAACTTTGTTTTCTCTCTCTAAAAACAACCTTTCCATCGCTTCTCGGCCTTTTGACTAAGATCAAGTGTAGTATCTGTTACCAGTTTAATATCTGATATGTTCTTTATCCGAGGACAATATATATTGAATGGATTCTTGGAGCAGGGAGATGGAATAGGAGCTTGCTCCTTCCACTCCACACATCGACCTGGTATTGCAGTACTTCCAGGAACGGTACACCCCCACCTAATTTAAAAAAAAAAAAAAACTTTCCAAAGGGCACATATCTTAGCAGGCAACTTGTCAGTACAGAGCCACAGACAGAGCTGCGCACCTGGGACCCGAGCGAAGGAAACCTGCCAGCCATCAGGTTGCAGGCTGGGAGGTGGCTGCCGGCCTGTGTCCTGTCCCCTTGCCCTCTGTTCCCCCAGAGGGCAGTTGTCTCCACCGGAAGGCCCGGTCGCAGGGTGATCTCGGGCCAGCATTGTGTATGTCTGCTCAGTCCAGTGCCCTGCTGCCACCTGGTGCCCAGCTCTCCTGCCGCAGAGGGGAATGCGGACCCCAGAAGAGGGTGGTCTCCCGGGAAGCCTCCTGTCCCCAGGCGCCCCTGGCATTGTGCAGAATGGAGGCACGGTGGCTGAATCTCCCGTAAACGCACGTCTGTGTGTTTTGTTATTTGTTGTCCAGATGGCATTGACGCAGCGTGCACAGTGGCTGTCAGTCGGGCACCTGCCGTCCTCACCGCAGTAAGCCCTCCAGGGGCTGCTCATGTCACGCTTCCTCACCGGTGGAGTGTTCACGGTTGGCCTGAGCCGCTCTCACTCTCTGATGATGAGGATGGGTCTCCACTGGGGCTTTTGAGCCTTAAGAGTGGGGTTTCCCAGCCTATGGCTCACACTTGCAGGTTCAGGAGACCATGGACGCACTGGCCGCGGTGCAGGATGTGGACGGCAGCCAGGATCTCTACCGAGAGCACATGGGCCCCCTCATGGAGTGGGTGGCGGCTTCGCACCACGACTGGACCGTCCACTCCGTGGAGCTCCTGCAGTTCAATGTCGTGGTCACCCACGCAGGTGAGTTCCCGCCACGCCCAGACTGGTTCAGGCCACGCCAGGAGGCTCCCAGCTGAACCAGGAGACCACAAGCCAGCTGAACCGAGGGTGACTCAGTCTCTCCCGCCCATGGGAACCAGCATTTTGAGAACCGAAACCTTAATTTTAAAAACGCCAAGAACGTTATTTTTGAAGACTGTATGTAACGGGGCTCTTCAAAGTCTGCCAGGCATATGGTTTTGATGTTAAGCCTCGAAGGTGTGATTTCTCAAGGCCTCCTCCTGTGTAGCCATGTTCTTGAGGTACGCCTCAGCATTGTTGAACTTAGCACAGCAAACGGGGATTCTGTGTGGGCCTCCAGGCCCGTCCCTGCCAGGCCGCGGGGACGATGGAAGAACATTTCCTTGGGCAAAGCTCATGCTCACACTCATGCCTGCTCCCTGCCTTGTAGAAATTCCTCTCTCGGACCAGTCGTGGAGAAGGTTTCACTGGACATACTTCATTTTAAAAGATGATTCTTGAAAAAAAACAACAAAACTTACTCTCAGACCCTGATCAGCAGCTTCCCTCCCCAATTTAGAAAGCAGCCAGAGGCTGCAAACCCACGTGCCGTTGGGGCTGATCAGGAAAAGCTGGGCCATCGGCCACAGCAGGGGGAGCAGATGGCCAGGGGGGGCGGCCACTCTGCACTTTACCTTCAATGAACCAAGTGTTTTCTCAGAGTGTAAATATAGTGTATTTGCTCCCTTTGTTTGAAAGCATCCTGTGTGTTCTGGAGGGGTTCATTTCCAGGTGCCCCGCAACCCTGGAGGTGCGGGCATGCCCGCACACGCCGGTCGTGGGTGTTGCTCTTCAGCTCTTCAGGTCGATGCAGTCCTTGAGGACTTTCTGCAGGAGCTCAGATTTACCCATCTTTTTATACCGTTAGTGTGGACAAACGCCCTGCAGTTTGGATGGGTTTTTTTTCGCCTTATTTTTGCAGAGAGCGTTTAAAAGACTTGACCTTCTAAAAATGACGCGTTTTTGGTGCCCAGCTGATAAAGAGGAGACCGTGCGTGAGCTAGAAGTGTGTTTACAGGAGGGGCAGGAGACGTTCACGGAAACCCCTCTGTCCTTTTGCTGGTGCATATTCTCTGTGTTTTGTGAAAAAGCAGGAGATTGGTAACTACTCCTGAATGACCCCACCCTCCTCCTCCAGTGAGAATCATACGGACCTTGGCCTTCTGTGTGATATTGAAGGAAAATACACCACAGGGACTGTGAGCACTCAGCGCTCGCCTGTGCTGGATGTGTCCTGTGCCTAGGCCACAACGTCCTGTCTGGTTTTGTTTCTCTTTCTTCCCCGAAACCCACACCTGGCCTCAGGTTAACGAAAGGCCTTGCTTTTCCATCTTTTTTTTTTTTTAAGATTTTTTTATTTGACCCAGAGAGAGAGCACGAGCACAAGCAGGGGGAGAAGCAGAGGGAGAGGGAAAAGCAGACTCATCACTGAGCCGGGAGCCCGCTTCAGGGCTCAGTCCCAGGACCCTGGGATCATGACCTGACCTGGAGGCAGACGCTTCACTGACTGAGCCACCCAGGCGCCCCTTGCTTTTCCATCTTGCAGCTTTGACGCCAGGTTTGAGTTGGAGCATCTGAGAAGACCCCAGTTGCTTTGCTTGTTCTCAGGCTCGTGGCAGAATGAGCAGGGTGGCCTGGAGTGGCCCTGTTGGTTATGGAATGCCGGGGGGGCCTGCCTGGGGGGCGGCGCTCCATGACCCGTGTCCATGCAATCAGAGTGCGTGTCTACACCCCGGGGACTATTTATTCCAATCACGACTCTGTGATTCCAGATACTGAGGGTCATTCCGCATGTCTGCGGCCCCTGCTAGCTTGGGGAGACCTGCACCAGTGCCCACCCAGCAGCAAGCTTGAGAAGAGCGATGGTTGCCAAGTGTAGGGGCAAATATTAAACACCTTACGTGTTCTGAATAATTTATTTGGGTTGATGTTTAAAATATTGCTTGACTTGAATTTTTTTTTAAGAATCTGGAAAAAATATAAGGAAATAGGAAGTTTCCATATGGAATGAGTAGCATGATTTTGGGAGTTAAATGTTTTCTTTTACAATGACATCCACGATCCAAAAGGAGGGGAAGGTGGTGGGACAGGCCATGGCCCCGCCTCTGCTGACGGCCCCTCCGCCGAGCCCGCGTGCTGTGGTGGGGCCCGCTGACTGCGAGCAGGAACCGTGGGTACCGCGTGTGTGTTTTCCAGGCCCGGCGCTGGGAGAAGTGCTGCCCCACCTTGTGCCCATCCTCAGGAGCTGCCTCCAGCCGGCCAGAGACCCACAGATGCGCCTAAGGCTCTTCTCCTCCCTGTCGCGGGTGCTGCTGAGCGCAAAGCAGACCGTCGACTCCCAGGGGTAGGTCTGCCCGGCCTCCGGCCTCTGCGGGGTGCTCTCAGGCCGGAGCTGGGTCACCCCTGGGCTCTGGCGCCGGCCACCCTCCCTGGGTAGACAGACAGCTCTGGCAATGAGCGCCCACCTGGACAGACACGAAGTCAAAGTCATTTTCATGTGGCCATTAAAATTCCATCAAATGGAAGAGGTTTTAGGGAACGTTAACTATTAATGGTTTATACATTAGGTGTTCTCAGTTTTAAAAGCCTTTCAAACCTAACAAAGAATGGATTGACTCACCATTGGTGGATAAAGCGTTAGAAGAACCTTCTGTCCATGCAAACACGTGAAGGGCCTCCAACATGACGGCTCTGCAGTGAGGGAGAGGAGACAGGGATGCTGGCGGGAGGGAAGGGGGCGACCTGAATCCACAGCAGGGCCGGGGCCTGTCCAGAGCAGAGCTGGGTGCCAGGGGATGGCAGGGTGGGGAGGCGTGTGGGTCCCTGTCCCCTCAGAAGGAGCATGTGTGTCAGGAGCGGCGTCCTGCCGTGTCACTAGCGTGCTGGGACGCATGCTGTGAGCCCTGCCAGCCCATCGAATTGCAGGGAATTCCGTGTCCTGCTCGTCGGCACGAACTCCGAGCCTGCAGGGGCCATAAAAACAAAGTGCCGCCCTGGGCAGAGCTCCGCGTGGATGAGCCACAAGGGTGTGAGGGCACGGGTCGGCTGGCGCCCTGGAGCCTGTGCTCCCCTGTGTCCTCGCGAGGGGCCTGAGCAACCCCCAGGCAGGGGGAGGCCTGGGGGTTCCTCGCTGACCCTCTACTACCGGAGCGTGTCCACCGGCCGCCTGCAGGTCCCGCTCAGAGGCGGCAGAGGGCAGGTGCTGAGAGGGCTGCCCTGGGCCCTCGATCTCACGAATATCTGACAGTGATGAGACGGGGCTTCTCAGTGTGAGGAGGTGCTGTTTTGGGGGCCACCTCCATGGATGGGGCTGCTCCTCCCACAGCGCCCCCAAGCATGGGCCCTGGGCGCCATCCCCAGGCACATGGCCTCTGCTCTCCAGGGCGTCTGTGGACATGCGACAGGCCTTGTTGGCCACCACCTCAGCCCCGTCTGCTCCTCGAGGTTGACTGAGGACTGGGGAAGGGGTGGTAGGAGGTCTGTCTGCAGAGCTGCCCACGAAGGTGGCCGGGGCTGAGGAGTACGCACCCGTGGTCTCCTTGGGCGGTGTCCTCATTCCAGCAGGGGCCCACCTGCAAACCCTTGTGCAACTTCCCATGCACAGGAGGCACCGTTCCAAAAAGTCAGGTGCTGGGTCTTCCTCCGCCATGTGTCGCTGCTTCCAGCGTGGGTTCTGACCGACCCGGGCCGCACGTGGGGCCTGCCTGGTGCCCCACGGCCGAGTGGCAGTCAGGCCAGTGCTGAGTGCTCCACTTTTCCAGCCACTTGACCTAGACGCCTCGGAGGTCGGCACTGGGGGTTAGGTCTTTCTAAAGAGATCTCTTGTGAATCACTTTGCAAGAAACAGCAGCTCTTTGCATAAAAGTTAAAGCTCATGAAAAACCTAATCCGTGTGTGTGTGGGTGTGTGCGCGCACGTGTGTGTAAATGGTTCAGGCCACAGTCCCTCACTCACCTGCGTCGCTGGTTCTGGGATGCCCCCTGCTGGAAGCCAGCAGGAGGAGCCTCCCGCAGAAGGGAGGGTCAGCGGGGGATGAGGCCCGGGACAGACCAGAGGGACGGCCGCAGGACGCAGCAAGCAGCCAGGGTACTGCGCAGCTCGGGCCTCGCCCTGGAGGCTTTACCTTTTCAGTATCTAAGACCAGCTGGTATTTGGGATGGGAGCCATCTTTGAAATATGCTTTGGAATAATGTTCAGAAATAAGTTGATGGATTCTTTGTTGACCGAAATGTGTTTCGATGTAACAGTGGAGGCGCAGTGGGATTTGTGAGGATGCTCCAGTGTTCCTCTGTGCGGCTTTTAATGGGGTGCTCAGCGTGCGGCCCCATGCCAGCCAGGCCGACTGGGACGTGGGAGTTTACCATTGAGATGACGCGCCCTGACTGCTGGCTTTCAAGCCCCGGGTGCAGACCTGCGGTGCCTTCCCCGTGGGTGGAGGGGCGTGTGCCCATGGGGGACGGTTGGGGGCGGTGTGTGTAGGATGGACACACATGCAAGTGACTTTGCTGGCCCGGTCAGCTCACACCTCTGCTTTCAGAGGCAGGAGGAGGGACAGGCGAAGCCCCTGCAGCAGAGGGATGGGGGCACCCTGGAGGCTCAGAACCTGCGCTGGGCCCAGCAGAGGCCAGGAGGAGCCCTAGAAGGCTGTCCGCTCCCCCGCAGGGCTCTCCCTGCCCCGCAGGGCGCCTGCGCCAGGGAAGCCGAGGCCCGCTGGTTCTGGCTCGCTCCTCTTCACCTGTGCTCTGTGTTTCCGCCCCAGGCAGTTTCACCACTATCTCAACACTGTGGCGAGAGACATCTTGGTCCCCAACCTGCAGTGGCACGCGGGGAAGACCGCTGCAGCCATCCGCACGGCAGCTGTGTCCTGCCTCTGGGCGCTCCTCAGCAGCGACGTCCTGTCGGAGAAGCAGGTGGGGCTCCCAGGGGCACCTGCCGCAGGAGGGGCGCACACGCATGCAGCTGCCAGACCCCGCGTTCCACAGCCCATGGAGGGGCGGGAGCCTGGGGGCCGCGGGCCAGTGTGTCCCACAGGCAGCAGCTTGTGCTCAATCATCGGGGGCTTTCCTGGGCTTACATGCTGAGTGTTGCTTTTGCAGAGCACAGAGTGTAACCACAGGACCCTCCCTGAGTTGGGCAGATCTCGGGGTTTCTGTGCTGCTGTCAGGGAAGCGGGACAGCAGTTTGAAGGCCTTGCAGTCACTGTGCTCAGCCCCACGTCTGCACACCGTGGCCAGGGGCTTGCCTGGCTCCACTTCCTGCTACACTGAACCGCCCCGATCCGAGTTACAGCGTCCCCCAAATCTCGTTGGACATGGTAGACACCGTGCTAGTAAGCAGCAGACTGTGTAGGATCTGTGTTTCTCTAAGACTGTGTGAACAATGGAGTTATCAACTCACCAAGTTAAGCAAAATTGTTCAAGTCATCTAGATTTTAAAATCAAAGTTCAGGTTTTCTTATGTAAAAATTTCAGGATGGTATTCCAGACTCCTTTCTGTTTGTATGAGAGCCGGGCTCCTTCCGTGACGGGCAGGGTGCACACAGCGCATCCCTAGCAGTGTCCTCACCGGGCCCGGGCCCGTCACCAATCCCTCATGTCCTCTCATTGCAGATCCGGGAAGTGCAGGAGACGCTGATGCCGGACATTCTAACCACCCTGGAGGAAGACTCTCAGATGACTCGATTAATTTCGTGCCAAATCATTAGCAGATTTCTGAAAACCTCCAGTGGTGTGGCTGATCCAGATAAGTTCATCAAGATTTACCCTGGTAGGACGTTTTTCTTTGTTTCTTTTATAGGGAAACTAGAAATTGCTCCTTTGACTCCTGGTCAGGTTGGTGCTGAGTCCCAGCGTGGCCGTGACGGATGAACCGTCTGTGAGTAGATAGCATAGCACAGGAAACGGGGCGGCCTGGGCCCGGGAATTGGGGGCGCAGCCCCGCCGCATGGCAGGGGTCCCATGGTGCAAGGGCGGGCACCCAGCCATGCCTGAAATCCCACGTCTCCGCCCTTCTGGAGCCCAAGCACCAGGCGAGTGTCAGATGTCAGATGCAGAAGCAGAGTAGCAGACGCAGAGAGTCCCTAAAACACCAGGAAAACCCAGCAGGAAGAGGGATGTCAGGTACCCCCATCGCCAGAGGGGAGATACGAATTCTAGAACCCACCTCCAAGTTCAAACAGAAATGCAAACGGGAACCAAGATGCGACCAAGAAAGAGCCCAGGAGACCTTCTCGAATGCCGCGCAGAGACTCCAGGGAGGGACCCTGTGGAGACGCAGGAGTGGGGTTGGCGCTGGCTGGGGCTGCAGTGTCTGGACACACCCATGGCTCTCGATTCCTATGCCCGACCACGGCCACGCAGCTGAGCCTCGGCACCTGTCCCTTCCCCGGGCCGCAGCAGGTAGTGATTCTAAAAGGGGGTCATAAGAATTCCTGAAAATGAGATTCAAAGCGGGCCCACTGGGTGCATGAGACCAAACATGGGAGAGGGCGGACTCCGTGAGAGGAAGATGCACATCTGCGGGGAGAGGCTTGGGCTGTGCACACAGAGCTCCAGAACAAGGGACTGATGGACGGACGGCCAACATCAGAAGAGGTGGTGGCCCGGAATGTTCCGGAATTGCAGACCATGCATCTTGACGAAACCCGGAGTCAAAGTCCCCTTTCCCACACATTCTTACAAGTTAGGTTTTGCTTTTGTGTTTATTTCTGTTGCGACAACTGATGACCTCTGTACTCCTGTCTATGAGCAAATCCAACCGGCGTTTGGTTTGTGGACTGTCTGGACTTGTTGGGATTTTGCTCACTTTTTAAAACAAAGCCAGTGGAAAGATGACTCATTTGGGGGCATTTGGGGTTAAGTCCAGAAGGATTTCCTCGGGGGCTCCGTTATTTTGCGGCACCCAGCTCGTGCTCTTGGAAGCGGTGTGTTTGCAGAAGTATGGCCGCGTGGCCAAGGAGGGCAGATGTGCCCTAAGACCTCCCACGACTTGGATGCACGCACCCGGCACAGGCCCCATGTGAGCCACCTGTCTTCCCGAGCCAGCTGTTGCCCTTGATGGCTGACCCCCGACGATCCCAGAAGTGAACTTCCAGGCCGTCTCTTCTACTTAAAACAAGAGGGTTAGGAGTCAGCATCACAGGAAAACGCACCACCCCAACGTTGGCCCGTGCCGGCAGGAGTGAGGACAAGGGAGGGATCCCTCCAAAGACTCAGTGATGGTGTGCTCGCTGACCGTCCCAGGACTGCGTGAGGTGGTGCTGGCCACGCCCCCTCGGTCTCTACAAAGTTTGCTTCCATGAGGCCCAGAACCCTTAGGAACGAGTACCTCCCGCGAGTTAATGCCCATCGGGAAGCCAAGGGCCATGTGCTGAGAGCAGAACAGCGCAAGCCCGAGGCCCTGTGTGCCTGCGTCCAGGGGACAGGCCTCCCGCCAAGTGGGGCCGCTGCCCTGCTCCCCACCGATGTCCACCTCCTGCCGCGCTCACTGAGTCTCCAGAGACACCCAGCCACAGGGCCAGAGGTTTCTTGTAGTTTGGGTGAGAAAAATGTATGTTTGATAAAAACCTCACCTGTTAACAGTGAGAGTTTCTACCCACGGGAGAGATGATTACTGTTTTCAGCAGCCAGGTGGTCCGGCCCCAGAGCTCAGCAGAAACAAAACTGATGCAGGTGCTGGCTGTCACCTCGCCAGGCCCTGAACTCTGTCCCTAGAGCCCGCAGTGTTGGGGGGAGGGCCATCTGCACGTCAAGGGGCCGGGGCAGCCAGGTGTCCGTGATGCCCGTGGTGACAGACTCTGAGCATCTCGGAGCTACAGAGGGCCCGGGGCTGCCTCGCAGGTGAGGAGACAGGTACAGAGCAGCTTGGGCCTGCCTACACGCACAGCAGGCGTAGGGCCAGGCACTCTGCTGCCCACCCTGGCCAGTGTCCACCCTCTGGCCAGTGCAGTCGAGGGGTCCCAGGATCCCGGGAGCTGCCCCCAGCCCCTTGCATGTGAGCACCAGTCTCCCCACAGGATGTGGGTTTCCCGGGGCCCAAGGGTGAGTATCCACTGCTGTGGGGTCAGGTCCCTGCTCCGGTCTCTGTCTCACTGTCCTGTCCGGCCCTGTCTCCAGAGCTCCTGAAGCGTCTGGATGACGTTTCCCACGAAGTGAGGCTAGCAGCCAGCTCCGCCTTGGTCGCGTGGCTGGCGTGTATCCAGAACGACGACGGGAAGTCCTACTACCAAAGCAACATTCAGTTCCTGTACAGAGAGCTCCTCGTGTACCTCGATGACCCGGAGGGCGCGGTCCAGGACGCGGTGTTGGGTAGGTATGGCGTGACGTGTGCTTGGCTCTGAGACCTGTCTTGAGTGCGTGGAACTCGTCTCTTCGAGCACGGGGCAGCAGGTCCGCAGCCTTGGGATCCCTTTGGACCGTCAGGGCCGACCCAAGGGCTGGGTGCCCGAATGTGCTTGTGGGGTACAGCCTGTGATATTTGCCATGATAGAAAGTAAAGTTGAGGGCGCCTGGGTGGCTCAGTCGGTTAAGCGACTGCCTTCGGCTCGGGTCAGGATCCTGGAGTCCCGGGATCGAGTCCCACATCGGACTCCCTGCTCTGCGGGGAGTCTGCTTCTCCCTCTCCCCCTCCCCCTGCTTGTGTTCCCTCTCTCACTGTGTCTCTCTCTGTCAAATAAATAAATAAAATCTTTTTTTTTTTTTTTTTTAAAGATTTTATTTATTTATTTGGGAGAGAGAGAATGAGAGAGAGCACATGAGAAGGGGGAGGGTCAGAGGGAGAAGCAGACTCCCTGCCGAGCAGGGAGCCCGATGCGGGACTCGATCCCGGGACTCCAGGATCATGACCTGAGCCGAAGGCAGTGGCTTAACCAACTGAGCCACCCAGGCGCCCAATAAATAAAATCTTTAAAAAAAAAAAAAAAAAGAAAAGAAAGTAAAGTTGAGGGGCGCCTGGGTGGCTCAGTCGCTTAAGTGTCTGCCTCAACTCAGGTCATGTCTCAGGGTCCTGGGACAGAGTCCCACATCGGGCTCCCTGCTCAGTGGGGGAGCCTACTTCTCCCTCTGCCCCTCACCCCACTCAGTGCTCTCACTCGCTAATGCACTCTCTTTCTGAAACAAATAAATAAAATCTTTAAAAAAATAATTAAAGTTGAGAAAAATCTTAGACATGTATTAATTTGTTTAGAGTACCCCTTTTATATTAACATAAATGACATGTGGTTTTGAAAGATACATTTTCCAAAACAAAATAACGAGCAAGAAGAATGGCGTTGTTTTACTTCTTTGCGAATCTCGTTGAAAGACAGCTAGGTGTGCACAGCTTCTGTGTTCTGGAGGCCGTGGTATGTGTCGTTGGGTGAAGTACGTGAAGGAAATCTGGCCTCAAGCAGGTACGCAGCTGGAAGAGAGAGGCGCCGTTTCAGGTAGTTGTGGGCATGCTTTGCTACTGCCCCACACTGGACAGGCAGTCGTCCCCCAGAGGCTACCTGGAGGGCAGACCCCGGAGATGTTCACGCCCGATGGTCTGTCCTGCATGTCGGCCGGGTCCAGAAGTCACGCTGGTCAGCGTGGAGCTCAGAACAGTCTTGGGAAGAAAAGCTTCAGGAAGCTGTCTAGCTCACGGTGGCAGAAGCAAGTTCCTGTACTCGCAGTTCCTGCCGGAAAGTCACAAACGCTGTCGCTGGACTGATTTCTGAGCAGAGGGTCTGCTGGGTGCCCGAGTGTGTCTGTGCAGTTTGTCCCGTTCTTTTTCGGTTGGTCGTTCTTTGCGGGAAAAGTGTCGTCCTGGGACCGAGGCACACCCCTGCCCTGACCCCGCCACCGCCCAGGACGCTCAGAAGGCGGGCCCAGCTGCCCCGGGGAGCGCGGCTTCGGTGTCATCCCTGCAGCAGCCACGGAAAGCGTAATGCGAAGACGTAGACGTAAAACGCCAATCAACAGATCTTAGAGTGCAAGTGTAAAAAATACACATATAACCCAAAAGAAGTCAAGGAACGAGGACAGGAAGAACACAGAAACAGGGACCAACAGGAAACAAAGTGACCAAATCCAGCCTCAGCTGCAGTCTCGTGGAATGTTAATGAGCCGAACGTTCCAGTTAAAAGGCAGGCGTTGTCAAGTCAATAAAAAAATCACGACTTAACTCTGAATTAATGAATTAAGTTAGAAGTTGGGTGCCGGAGGACTGACCTAATAAAGGAATTTTTGCTGCTTTGTTGAGGACGTTCTTGAGGGAACTTGCCGGGCGGCGGGAGGCTCGCGGACCCCACGGCCGCCCCGCCCTTGCTTCGTGCGGCGCCTGGTGGTGTCGTGGACACAGTTTTGACTCCCAAACCCGAGGGCCTGCAGGACCCCCCAGGGACCCTCGCGCACACAGAGCCGCCACCTCGGGCCGTCGCAGGCGGGAGTGGGTGACTGTGCGGCCCGTTCGGACAGCTGGGCATTCTTCTCCGGGCACCAGCAGCTGGAGGACACACGGGTGTCCTGGCTCAGCTCCGCAGCCGTCCCCAGTGCATGTGTGGGGTCTGGCCTACTCGGCCAAGTGCTCACAGACCCCACACCTTGCTCTCCTCTCTCCTTCCTCTCTAGCGAGAGAAGTGATGAGCTTGTCCATCTCCGAATCTCCGTAGCCTGCGGCGTGGTTCCCACCAGGGGGCAGTGTGTGCACCGCCCATCCTCTGCCTTCCAGACGCACTAGGACTCAGGTGACGCAGTCATGGCGCAGGCCGACCGCACTGCTCCTCTCTTGCAGCCTCTGCCCCTGCACTGCTGCCCTTGGGGTGCTCACGGCAACTCCAGCCTCGCACACATCCTGCCCCCTTGCTGTCCTGTCTCAGTAGCCAGCCAGCCGTGTTTAGAGTCCTGCATGGACACGCCCCAAATGCCCCAGTCTCTCCTCGCCAGCAGACCAGGGGGGTGTCTCCCAGATGACTGGCTCTCCTCTTCTGTGCTCCCCTCGACCCCTCACGCCTCCTGGGCCTCCTGCCTGATGACCTTGCTCTGTCCCACTGACAAGCTCCTGCGTGCCCTCTCACCCCTCAAAGCCACGCCCGTCATGGTGCCCATGAGCCTTGCTGCCAAAGGCAGCCTGCTGCTCGGGTCTCTCCTGCACCTACGTGCACTCCACAGGACCGCTGGTCACCGCCTCCGTCCTGTGGCCTCCAGGACGCCCTGGCTCCTGGTTTCCTCCCGTCCATCTGGCCGCTGCTTCTCTCTGCACTCGCTGTCTTGGTGACCTCTTCTCCTCTCTGACTTCAGATGCCACCCACGTGCTGGCGACTCCCAGACTGAAGTCCAGGGCAGATGTCTGCCCCCAAACTCTAGACACACACGTGCCCAGACCTCAGAGGGCACACGGGTCTGCCGGGCATGGAGGCCGTAGCATGCAGACCAAGCCGGGATGGCGCCCCCATTCGCCGACCCTGCTCCCCCTGCTCCCCCTGCTGTGTCTCAGTGGCTACCAACGGCCATGCCATCCTCCTTGTGTCTGAGGGCAGGAACCTCCTGAGTCTGCTTGCCTGCGTCTGCCAGAGTCACCCTGCAAGATGGCGTGGATGACACCAGTCCTTGGCCCACGGTGCCCGCCAGCTCCTTTCCCACCCAGAGTTCAGCTGCCGCCAGCCCAGTTACCGCAATGATCACCAGTAACAACACTGTGGTTTCCTTCTTCATTCTGATTCTTATCTGCTGCCCCCAGACTAAAATGTGAAAGGATCCACAGGATGGATTTTTTTGCCTGGCACGTAGTAGGCTTGCAATGGGTGTTTGTTGACTGAATCAGCATCAGTAAATGTGATAAGAAAATTGATCGTCTTTCTAAGCCAGTTTACCTGCTAACACAAAAACTGTTTCTAAAGCCAAAATGCCACACGGTCATCACCCTCGGGGATTTTGAAAGATTTTCATGATCCACTAACAACTCCAAGAACATTCTTTTTTTAAGTTCTTTTTGTCCACACTGGAACTATTTTATACTGCATCAGATGAATTTAAAATGCTGTAATAACTTTTAGGGTGGTTTTCGTGCCACAGCTAAACCGAAGGGAAGGTACAGAAGTTTCCCACATACCCGCTCCCCCCACGCATGCAGCATCCCTCCCCACAGGTGGTGCATTTATCAGCACTGATGACCCACGGACACGTCAGCACCACCCAGAGTCCACGGCTCACAGGAGGGCCACTGTGGGTGCCGAGCCTTCTGTGTGTGTGCACGAAGGTATGACATGGATCCTCCAGGACAGAGTCGCACAGAGTGGTCTCGCTGCCCTCTGTGCTCAGCCTGATAGTCTCGAACCCCACCCCCCACCCCGACAGCCTCTGGTCTTTCACCATCACCACAGTTGGGCCTTTTCCATAATGTCATAGAGTTCAAATCCTGCAGCATGAAGCCTTTTCAGATTGGGGTTTTTTTTCACTCACTAATACACATTAAAGGTGCTTACATGTCTTTTCACAGCTTGCTAGCTCATTTCTTCTTAGCACTGGTTAGTAATCCATTGACTAGCTGGACCACAGATCATCCATCCACTGTTGAAGGACGTGAAACTTTGGCAACTATGGAAAAAGCTGCTATGTGTATATGGACGCAAGTTTTTGTGTGGACCTAAGTTTTCCGCTCCTTTGGGTAAATACCAAGTAGCACGGTTGCTAAATCGTGCGGTGAGACTGTATTTAGTTTAGTAAGAAACTGCCGAACCGTCTTCCGAAGTGGCCACCCCATCTTGCACTGCCACCAGCAGCCCGCTGCTCTGCGTCCTCTCCAGCATGCGCTGGAGACGGTGTTGTGGATTTGGCCGTTCTAACAGGTGTGTGGCTGTGTCTCCTTGTTGTTTTGATCTACACTTCCCTGAGGACACTCGAGGTGGAGCGTCTTCTCAGATGTGTTTGCCCTCTGTATCTCTTCCTTAGTGAGGTGCCGTTAAGGTTTCCGGCACGTTTCTTACTTGCATTGTTTTCATATTGTTTAGCTTTTGGAGCTTTTTGTATATTTTGGATAACAGTCCTTTATCAGATGTGTCTTGTTAATATTTTCTCCCGGTGTGTGGCTTGTCTTCTCAGTCTCTTGATACAGCTTTTTGCAGAGTAGAAATTTTTAATTTTAATGACATCCAGCTTATCGGTTATTTCTTTTGTGGATCGTACCTTTGGTGTTGTGTCTAAAGTCATCACCAGAGTCTCCGGCTGCAGGCCAGTGGGGAGCATGGCAGGGTCTCCGAGCGGAGAGAAGGAGAAGGGGCTGCTGGCGGTAATAGCCCATGAGAGCTTGTCAAGAGAACTTAGAGAAATGCTGGCAATTTCAAGAAATCAAAAGTTGTTGCGTGATAAGGAAAAGCAGGTCCTGGAGTTGTTAATTCACAGAGATGGGGAATTTCAAGAACTGATGAAATTGGCACTTAATCAGGGATGCAAGTTTTAGAAAAGGAAGTGGAGGAGAGAGACAGTGATATTCAGCAACTACAAAAACAGCTAAAGGAAGCAGAACAAATACTGGCTACAGTGTTTACCAAGAAAAACACACATCAATAGAAAAGGCAAGAAAAGGTGCCATCTCCTCTGAAGAAATAATTAAGGATTCACAAGTCATGCTGTGTGTGTCCCGCTGACCTGGGTCCCAGGGGACCTACAGAGACCACACCTGGCGGATTTAGAGAGAAGTGGATTATTGGGTCAGATAAACAACCCTTCCACTAATGGCGTAAATGGTCGTTTACCGGGGACGCATGGCAGTCAAGTGACCTAAGTAAATGTCATCGCCACACCCAGCGTCACTGGTTCTCTCTCGAATTCTCTTCTGGGATCCTGTAATTCTTGCAGTTTCATATGTCAGGAGTTAGTTTTTGGGAAGGATGGAAAGTCTGTGTCTAGATCCTTCCTTCCCTCCCTCCCTCTCCCTCTCTCTCTCTCTCCCTTCATGCGGGCATCCACTTGTTCCAGATCATTTACTGAAAAGGCTGCCTGCTCCCCTGTGTCGCCACTGCTGTTACCAAAGATCAGAGGACCGTTCATCTGCGTCCACCATGGGTCTGCATCATCCATGCGTCTGCGTCGTCCGTGCGTCTGCATTGACCGTGCGTCTGCATCTGGGCTCTCTGTTCTGGTCTATCAATCTATTTGTTCTTTGAACAAGACCATACTGTCCATTACTCTGGCTTTATGGAAAGTCTTAAGTCAGATTGTGTCGGGCCTCCAACTTTTCTCCTTCAGGGCTGCCCTGGCTATTCTGGGACTTTGGCCTCTAGATACAGACTTTAGATTGAGTTGGTCAGTATCAATCTGGGATTTTGATTGTGATTGCCTTAAATCTACAGATCAAGTTGGGGAGAACTGGCATCGTGACAATATTGACTTCCTATCCATGAACATGGGCTCTCTCCATTTATTATGTTTTATTTTCTTTTATTTATATATTACCTTTGTTTTATTTGCACATTACCTTTTCCTTTTTTTTAAGGTTTTACTTATTCGTTTGAGAGAGAGAGAGCAAGCGCAGGGGGAGCAGCAGGAAGAGGGAGAGGAAGAAGCAAACTCCCTGCTGAGCAGGGAGCCCGATACGGGACTCGATCCCAGGACTCTGAGATCATGACCTGAGCTGAAGCAGACACTTAACCGACTGAGCCACCCAGGCGCCCCGATCATGTGATTTTCTTTTTCAGCCTATTGATGTGATGGATTATATTAATTGATTTTTAAATATTGGACTAGCCTTGTGCACCTGGGATAAACCCCACTTGGTGTTCATGCATAATTCTTTTTATACATTGTTGGATCCTATTTGCTACTATTTTGTTGAGGATTTTTGTATCTATGTTCATGAGAGATAATGGTCTATAGTTTTCTTATAATGTCATTGTCTGGTTTTGTACTAGGGTCATCCTGGCCTCGTAGAGTGAGTTAGGAAGCTTCCATCTCTGGAATAGAGTGTGGAGAATTGGTATAATTTCTTCCTGAAAGTTTGGTAGAATTTACCAGTGGACCCATCTGGGGCTGGTGCTTTCTGTTTTGTGAGGTTATTAATTATTGATTCCATTTCTTTGATAGATATAGGTCATCTGTTCTTGTGTGTCTTTCCAGGGATCAGCCCACCTCATCGGGGTCCTCCCGTCTGTGGCCCACGACTTGTTCAGAGGACCAGCTTTTGGTTTTGTTGATTTTCTCTATTGATTTCCTGCTTCAATTTCACTGATTTCCACTCTAATTCTTTTTTTTTTTTTAATTCTTATTTATTTATTTGACACAGAGAGAGAGAGACAGAGAGAGAGGGAACACAAGCCGGGGGAGTGGGAGAGGGAGAAGCAGGCTCCTGGCTGAGCAGGGAGCCCGATGTGGGGCTCAATCCCAGGACCCTGGGATCATGACCTGAGCCGAAGGCAGACGCTTAATGACTGAGCCACCTAGGCACCCCTCCACTCTAATTCTTATTCTTTTCTTCTGTTCACCTTGGATTTGTCTTTCTAGTTTCCTAAGGTAGAAACTTAAGGTAATGATTTTTAGCTCTTTTCTCACATATGCATTCAATGCTGTAAATTCCCCTCCAAGCACTGTTTTCACTGCATCCCACAAATTTTGGTTGTTTTCCTTTTCATTCAGTTCAAAATGAGTTTCTTTTCAGATTTCTTCTTTGACCATTGCATTATTTAGAAATGTGTTGTTTAATCTCCAAATATTTGGGGATTTTCCAGTTGATCACATATTGATTTCTGGTTTCACTCCATTACGGTCTGAGAGCAGACATTGTAGGACTTTTGTTTTTTAAATTTGTTACGGTGTTTTTCATGGGCCAGAACGTGGCCCATCTGGTGAGTGTGCCAGGGGAGCTTGAGAAGAGTGTGTATTCGGTTGCTATTGGACGGAGGCGTCTGCAGATCTCTGTCGTAGCCCCTGACGGATGGTGCTGTGGAGGTCGGCCACGTCCTCGCTGACCTCCCACCTGCAGATCTGTCCACTCTGATAGCAGGTGTGGAAGTCTCAGCTACAGTGTGGATTCATCTGCTTCTCCTGCAGTCCTGTCCGTTTGGCCTCGTGTAGTTTGGTCCTCTGTTATTAGGCACGTGCGTATTAAGGATCCATATGTCTTTTCCGAGAACGGACTCTTCCTCATTGGGTCACACGCAGCCTCTGAGTCCTGGATAACTTGCCTCACTTTGCAGTCTGCTCTGTTTCTAGCTGTTTTAACTGGAATGTGCAGCTTACTCCCATAAGCAGCAGTTGGTTTACTATTGATTCCTGGTGTTTGAAGGGTGTGTTGCTGTTTTACAGAGGTCCTCAAAGCAGGCAGCGTTCTGTTCCCTGAGCTCCTGGTGAGAGAGACCGAGGCAGTCGTCCACAAACACCGCTCTCCTGCCCACTGCCAACAGCTTCTGCAGCACCTGCAGGCCCTGCCGCCAGCCCAGTGAGCGCAGACGGCGGAGCCTGGAGCGAGACCCAGCTCCCGTCCTTCCCCGGTCTGGAGTGTGTGGCCTTCAGACCTCACAGCACGGCACCTTTTAGTCAACAGCCTGAGACCTTCACGAGCAAGACTTTGATAGCAAGAATGTATTCCCTAAGAAATGTGCCCGGGATTCGCAGACGGATCTCGAGCCCAGGAGTTTCTGAAATAACGTTCACTGTGTGGCTCCTATACCTTTAGCTTTTATTTATACCATGACAGATCTCCCAAACGTCTATAGGTAATTGAAATTAAAAGTAAATGGGATCTGCTGACACTGGCAGCCAAATCAGCCTGTTTGTTTGTTTCAAAGCTACACGCACCTGCTGCGCCCTTGAGTTAGGATTTATGTTTGCAAATGCCCACCCCACCAAGATTATTTTGTTAAGCAAAAGCTGTTAAAAAGAAGTTCATTCTTTCCTCGGGTTGTGTCTACTGAAACTTAGTATCACAGTGAACAGAATAAAAGGAACTTGAAATTTTTATCAATTAAATTTTTGCTGTTTAAAATACCCCTGGAACTCAAAATGATATATGGATACATTCGGTTACAATGTTTTTTTCTTATCTCAGTAATGCGAACAATGTTGAAAATAGAATATTTAATCAGATATAATTTTGGTTGCTCTCTTATAAGTAGGAGTAAAGTAAAATTGGATTTTATTCTCTAGCACTTTCTACACCCAAGTGCCTAAAAAACTTCATTTTAAATGGGTATTATTTCCATAAGCCAAATATTTATGTTAACACGGGGCGGGGAATATTGTATTTTCTAACAACCAAATATTAACATTTGTGCTTAAGTGTTTGAAAATGTAATTAAAAATATTTATTATAATGTCTTGTACGCCTGTCTTAATGTGGTTGGTAGTTTATTGACATTTTTAGATTTGCTAATTTTTCCCTTAATCTCACAGTGATCCCGGAGGCTCCCCACCTACTCAGTGTAGTGCCCTTTCTGGGCACCAGGTGGCAGGCGCTCCAAACCCCATTAGGAGGGCGGCCACGGGAGATCCTGGCTATTTGGTTGGGGACAGCAGGCCTGCACTAAGAGGTGGGATCCGAATCTGCACCACAGACTTGGGTTACTGCCTCCCAGGCCCCATCCGCTTTCCCACCCCAGAAAGCCTCCCAAGCTATGACGGGGTGTCAGCCCATCCTGTGATCAACCGCAGCTGCAGGGGGCTTAGGATGCCCTCAGGGACATCACCCACCAGTTCCCCGATTGCCCCTTATACCCTCTGCTGTTTCCTTCCTCAGCATCACCTGGAAACCTGTGAGGAATGCAAATTATGGGGCCTCAGCCCAGATCTGCAGTGGATCCAGTGGCCAGACCTCCAGGGGACTGATCCCCTAAATTGTGAGGACCCTGCCCTGAGCACCATGCATTTTCATGTCCAGCAAGAGCTCCAGCTTCCATCTTTGATCAGCCACGAAGGGTCACGGGAACCAAACAGAGGCGGCAGACAACTCGGCTGGAGGTCACACAAGGCAGGCGTGGTTGGACACTGGGATCGGCTGCCAAAGAAAGATGAGCATGGCATTCCAGTTTCTGGACGTCTCTAAGGGGACGTATTCAGAGCATCACAGTGAATCAGTGCCGCCTGGCATGGTGTCAACAGGTAGGTGTGTTCAGAGAAAGACAAAGGTTAGTCATCTAAACACCTGAGAACCAATGCGTCCCTCTTAATTTTTTTTTTTAATTCTTGGGATACCTCGGTGGCTCAGTCGGTTGGGCATCTGCCTTCGGCTCAGGTCATGATCCCAGGGTCCTGGGATCGATTCCCGCATCGGGATCCCTGCTCAGCGGGGAATCTGCTTCTCCCTCTACCCCTCCCCCCAGCTCGTGCTCTCTCTCCCTCTCTCTCAAATAAATAAAAATAAAATCTTAAAAATTTTTTTTACTTCTTGTCCACACTCCTCAATTAAATCAGCAACTATTTGTGGAGCCCTAACTTTCCTGTACAGGTGGAGAACAGGGATGTGTAAAATGTAGCCCGAGAGTTTACGGTATTACTGAGATGTACTTACATACTGTGACAGTCAGCCTGCTAAGTGTACAGTTGGGTGAGTTTTAGCAAATTTTCAGAGCTGTTTTAGAACACTTGTGTCCACCAGAGAGCGATGCAGGGCCAGGTGCAGCTGATCCCTGCCCGCGTTCCCAGTCGAGCAACCACTGAGCCGCTTCTGTCTCTAACCTGATGTCTGTTCTAGATGCTTCATGTGCATGGGATCACGTCTGTGGTCTTCGGTGTCTGGTTTTTTCTCATAGCACAAAGTTTTTGAGGTGATTTATTTATTCATGCCGAGTTCAGGGGTCAGCAATCCCTTTCTGTCAAGGGCCAGATAATAAACATTTTAGGCTTTGAGGTCTCAACTCTGTTTTCCGTTCACCCGTTGATGGGCATTTAGGTTGAGGCCACTGTGAATAAAACTGCTCTGGGCTTTGTGACATGTGTGGTCACGTTTCCATTGTCTTAGGTGGGTTCCTCAGAGCAGAATTGCTAGGGCATATTTGATACGTGTTTGTAGCCCCTGATGGATTGATTGTTTTTAACTGCTTTATTGAAGGATGCTTGCCCTACAGTTCACTGCACCCATTTAAGGCGCGCAGTTTGACAAGTTCTGACACGTGTGCACCCACGAACCTCTCCACCCCAGAGATTCTTCCTGCCCTCTCCCGCAGCCCCACCCCGCCCCCTCCAGGCAACTCTGGTCTGGTTTGGTCACCACAGAGTATGCCCTGCACATTTTGGACTTTCACAGCATGTGTTTTCGGCTTGGCTTTTTGGTCTTCTTTCGTGCGGCACAATTATTTTGAGACGTATCCACCTTGTAGCACCCATGGGTGGTGGCGCGTTCCTTTTTGTTGCTGAGCGGCATTCCACTGGGTGGCCACACCGCAACCCTGATGCATGTTGGCTCCTAGCTCCTGGCTGCCACAGAGAAGCTTCTCACAACACGGGAGTACAAGTGTCTGTATGGACACAGACTTTCATTTCTCCCAGGGGAACATCAAGCAGGGGAATGGCAATCACACTAGATCCTATTTAAGTTTTTAAGAAACTGTCAAACTATTTTCTAGAGTGAAGTACCATTTCATATACCCACCAGCACCATATGACAGTCCTGGTTCCTCTCATTTTTGCCAACATTTGACACATTGGCCTTTTTAGTTTTAGCCACTGTAATAGGCATGTCGTGGTATTTAAATATGGTTTTAGTTTGCATTTCCTTTATGTCTAATGATGTTGAGTATTTTTTCATGTGCTTACTGGCCATCTGTAGCTTTTCATTGGTAAAATATCTTAAAATCTCTTGCCCATTTTTTAAAGATTTATTTATTTTGAGGGGCGCCTGGATGGCTCAGTCGGTTAAGCGTCTGCCTTCGGCTCAGGTCATGATCCCGGGGTCCTGGGATCAAGCCCCACATCCGGCTCCCTGCTCTGCGGGAGGCCTGCTTCTCCCTCCCCCACTCCCCCTGCTTGTGTTCCCTCTCTCTGTGTGTCTCTGTAAAATAAATAAATAAAATCTTTAGAAAAAAAAATATTTATTTTGAGAGACAGAGCTCATGCGCACTCGCAAGCAGGGGGAAGGGAAGAGGCAGAGGGGAGAGAGAATCCCAAGCAGACTCCTTGTTGAGTGCAGAGACAGACGTGGGGCTGGATCTCACGACCCTGAGATCGTGACCTGAGTCAAAACCAAGTCAGTCGCTCACCCAAGCCACCCACGTGCCCCACCCTTGTCCGTTTTTTTTAAAATCAGGTTTTCTATTGAATATGAGTTGTTCCCATATTCTAGATACAAGTGTTTTATCATCTATGATATGCAAATATTGTCTCATCATGGAGCTTGTTTTTCACTTTTTTTTAAGATTTCATTTTTAAGTAATCTCTACACCCAGCATGGGGCTCAAGATCACAACCCGGAGATCAAGGGTTGCACCCTCCACCAACTGAGCCAACTGAAAACAGGTACTCCTGTTTTCACTCTTTAACAAGGTTTCTTGAAGAACAGAAGTTTTTAGTTTAGAAGGAACTTATCAGTGTCTTCTTTTATTATGCTTTTGGTATTATATCTAAGAAATATTCGCTTTAAACCGAAGTTTCACTTCCTAAATCTTAAGCTCAAAAAGTTATTTTCATAAAGATGATTCCTCTATTTGCTGTACCTACACCATAGTTCAGAGGCGAGGTTTACTTCCTTTGAAAATCTCCTTTCTGTGATCTAACTGAAAATATGAGATCTCTCTGGGGTGAGTTTGTTGAAAATAAAACCCCTACCTTTTAATAACCAGAGACAGCCCCCTATGTGCCAGTATGTGATGATCTTTAAAATACATTAATAATCATAAACAAGGAACACAACGCTAGGGGCGCCTGGGTGGCTCAGTCGTTAAGCGTCTGCCTTCGGCTCAGGTCATGATCTCAGGGTCCTGGGATCGAGCCCTGCATCGGGCTCCCTGCTCGGCAGGAAGCCTGCTTCTCCCTCTCATACTCCCCCTGCTTGTGTTCCCTCTCTGCTGTCAAATAAGTAAATAAAATATTTTTAAAAAAAAGAAAAAGCATAACGCTGTATAGGAAGGATGAACCAGATGTAAAAGGAGGAAAGAGGTAGCAGCCGCTGATTTGCTCTTACGCGGATACACTTTTTCTGGAAGGGTACAGAAGAAGCTACGGTGGTGGCCTCTCGGGAGAGGACCTGCACACTGGTGGTGTTTTTAGCTCCTAGGTCAGCACACCTGTTTCCTCTGTGGAGAACAGGGCCCTGTTCCAGGCAAGGATATTCAGGATGTTTATCAAGAAGCTGTTTTGTTGAGAAATGAAAATGTGCGAGTGTCCGTAGCAGCTGCGTTCCAGCCCCAAACGTCCATCAACAGTTAGGAATGGATAAGCAAGCTGTCCACTCGACAGAACAGCGCACCCCAACGAGAGCAGACCCTGACGCGCACTGAGGGCATGGCTCTCCCGGCCATCCGCTGCCTTAAGGAGGCCAGGGTTTCAGTGGGAGTGCAGGGTTCTAGAACAGGCAAAGCAGATCCACGAGGGCTGTTCCACTCTCTCCTCTACTTGTGTATGTCTGAATTTTGTGTGCTTTTTCATAATTGAAAGTGTTGAAACTTTAGAACAATCTCGGGATGAGCCTGGAAGGCAGAAGCTAAGACTAAGTGCTCTCGGGGGCTGCCTCTCCTCCAAGCCAGAGCAGGAAGCGGGGTGTCCCCTTACACAGACCCGCCTGTCCACTGCCAGTTGTCTTACAACCAGCTTGGAAAATTAAGTTTTCTCTAAAGATAAATCTTTCTTCCCGACTTTTCCCCATTTTCCAGGACTCTCCAAATACCCAGTGTCATCTAGACGTCCAGTCATTGCCTGTGTGATAGAAGACATAAGAGAAACGATTACTGAAGGTTACTTGGGGTGGTGGGCTATGGATAGCTTGTTTTCCTGGCTTTGAGTCATTTAGAATTTTAAAATCATTTTCAGAGGCCATGGGCAGCGCTGTTGTGGATGACAACTGGGATCTCAGAGGGAGGCCGCCAAGTCCCCAGCCTGCCCAGCACCAGCCTCCACTCAGACGTGCCTTTGACCTAGGCTTGTCCTTGGCCTTGTCCCCAGGGTCCTGAGCCTCTCCTGTGACTCTTCTATAAGCAAAGGATGATTTCAGGAGCTGGCTTGGACACTGAGGCCTGGACCCTGTGCCAAGGACAAGGGCACTCGCTGATTTGTTCTTAGGCATCTGGGCAGGGTTTTCTGGTCTCGGAAAGTGTAATCTGAAGAGACATGAGGGTGCCTGTTGTTGCGGAACAAGAAGTGTAACCGTAGACAGAAGGATCTTGTA